GGGATCAAATAGTAGGGAGTTTTAAGGAGTCTCTGGGAATCAATAAGTTGAGCCAGTTACCTCCAGGGCCCGTGAACCGTGCATGGCTACGTGCTTTAGGTTACTGGTGTTTGGCTTGTAAATCTCTTCCTTCTCCTCCAAATCGACGGGGAGCACGTTTCTGACCGAGGCGTGCCTGCGGCTGGGTCTCCAGCCGGGACGGAGAGGGGCTGGTGCCGACGCAGGCGCTCTCCCCGGGCCCCACCGTCCTTCGCCTTGCCACCGGGGGGCTGTGGCGGTCCCAGCCGCTCTCGCGAGCCCTAACCTCTCTGCTCTTGGCACGCAGGACGAGCCCTGGGCAGGTGGGACCTGTGGCAGACCCAGCTGAGCGGCTGCTTCGAGGACACCCAGGAATTTTAAGGTTTGTAGATGCCACCAAGTACGTTTCAGATGTTAGCGAGGGGGATAGCTTTCCCCCTATTAAATTACATGGGGTTTGGATTGAATTTTCCTCTTTATGTTTCTCCCCAACACTGCTAGTTACCATAGCGATGGCTACATGACTTTGTTGTAGTTGTTTTATTTAAATATAGCAAAAGAAATTGCTAGAGCTTGGGATTCTGGCTTCAAAAATTCAATTTAAGAAAAGCCTAACAGCTACTCTGTGTTATTGGTGCACAAAATAGCTTTAGAAACCACAGAGCTTCTACCACAGAAAACCACAGAACCGCACAATCCTATAATTTGAAGAATGGACAAACTTTTTTTGGCACTTCTTGTGGATGGAGGACCAAAGTTTGGAGAGAGTCAATGTTTTCAGGCAGTTTGTAAACGGCTGCGAGTAACCAAGGGCTCGCACAGGCTGAAATCCCCCATCCCTGCACAAGGTGAGCTGTGGCCAAAACTAAAGCTTAGACTCTCCCAGCCGTGATTGTTATCTGCAAATCTGAAAAGAACTTCTAGCAAAGCCAGAGGGTTTCTAGTCCAGCCTTCCACTTTAGGGTCGAAAAAAATGGATTTGCAAGCGCCCTGCCCGCCCGCTCGCCAGGTGCTGGCGTGGTGCTGGGCTGCTTTGCAGGGTGCTGCAGCTCCCTCGAGAGCTGGAAGGCGGCCACGCGACTGCAACGGCCCCTCGGGGCGGCAGGACGCGGTTCTGTGCGGGGTGCTGTTTCAGCAGCAACAGCCTCTGCGTTACGGTGTTTTCTGAAGATGAGTTCCCATGTAGTACAGATTTAACTGACTCTTCTGAAGTCAGCAGGTGAGAGAAAAACCGTTTTTGGCGTAGCGAACAGTAACTCCTCGGGATGGTGGCTGGAGTTCAGAAACCTTTGCTAAAACTTTCACTAGGAACATTGTGCAGGATTTGCTAGTTTCTGTATTTAATGTGCTCTATCTAATCTGGCAATCTATCTTGCAAGTATAGTGAGCCCATCACTGCGGTATCTTATAAGAATACGTGTGAAAAATCTTGTTTACAACGGACTCTACATTTCCTCCTATCAGGTTTAACTGCAACTTCTTTTTTTTTTTTTTTTTTTTTTTT